TATCCCCCCCCCCCCCCCCCCCCCCTGGCATCGACCTTGGCAGAGGATCGTCGTGAATTGCAGTAGAGTCAAAACACTTTAGATACATGAGTCCTAAACGAGCAGCTGGACTCCCTTACAGCCTCTAGGCGTCCAGGGGGCAAGGACCCTAAGGCCTGGGAATGGTGAGGAGAGGAGGGGACCTCTGAAGAGTTGCAGCACTACTTGCTCCAACGCCTGCTGCAGGGCAAGCCCAAGTGCATGCATACTTAAGCCCCGTCGTGTTGCATGCTCTAACGCTGTAGGCAACTGATGCACGCGTACTTCGCCGTCCTGGGTATCTACAGATACCAGACGGTGTATATAAACTCATTACAATATACAATATATACAATATATACAATTGTGCAACGCCGTCCCACCCCATTTCTTCTGCTTCGTTTTGTTCTATGACGACGTAGTCAAAGTACGGAACGTATTGCCCTATGAAGAGGAGTGACCTCGGCGCCCTTACTAGTCTATAATAAAAAATCAGAGTGCATCTTTAGCTGGGTGTGCTTGTCACGGCTTCAGGTGTATGTACACTGCAGGACAATACAGTTACCACCACACCTTACAGCCGACGACCAAAACCAGCAGGCGTTCAATCGCGAGCCAAAACCTGCTGTAGTGCATCTTGCTTTACAGCCTCTTTTTGGCACATGCGATGTATACAGAAAGGGACGGAGAACTCAACAACGCACTGTGCAGAGACTGCAGACTACGCATCACCGCTCTGCTGCCTGCTGCAGCAGCAACTCGTACGCCAAGTTAATCTGCTGCATCGCCTCTTGGCGAGAGGTGCACTGTAGCTGCCCCCCTTTTGCAGCGCCCTCAACGCAAACACAGCCTACCGCCTCGCTGCCTCTACTGCTGCTGCTGTTGTTGTTGCTGCTGCTGCAGGAATTGAAGGTTGCACGGTCAGGGTGGTGCAGTTTGGCTAATTGCCTGTAGCGTTGTTTTATTGCTGCTGCTGAGGCGTCCTCGGAGAGGCCGAAGAGTTCACGAGCGCGCAGCAAGTCATCTGTTTGCTTGCTGCTGGTTCTTACGTACTCTTCCCAGCCTAGCTGCAGCTGCAGCAGCACCCACTCGAGGCTTTCTGCATAGCTTTTGCCTTGTAGCTGCGCACCTAAGTCGCGCTGCAACTGCAGTATCTCCTGCCACGTCTGCTGCAGCCCTTCCCAACCCTCCTGATGCTGCAGCTGCTGCTGCAGCAATTGCAACGGAGTCTGCAGCTCCGCCTCCCCGCTTTGCTGCAGCAGAGGCGTATTCAGGAATGCATGCAGCAGTAGCAGCAGCCACGACAACCCCAAACCAAACACAAACAACCGACGCAAACAGCCAGCAATCTCCCAGGGAAGGCGAGAAAAAAGCAGAAACACAGATGCCTTTGCCCATTGGCATTTGCTGCGCAGCCGTCCACAGAAGTGCTGTTGCTGCAGTCGCTCGGTCCTGAGCCCTAGCAACTGGGCTGCTGCTGCTGCTGCTGCTGCGCTTTCCAAACGAATGCGCGCAACCCACAGGGCTGGAGGACTGCTGCAACATGCAGCAGCTGCTGCTGCTGTTGTCAACAAGGTGCCTGCAGCAAAATACTCCTGCAGCACCTCCGTCTCAGGCAGCATGGACCAATTGAGCTGCTGCTGCTGCTGCTGCAGCAGCAGCAGCAGCTCTGCAGCTTCGGATCGCTGCCGCTGCAGTGGAAGCACCGCAAAATAACCAAAAGGAAGCACCAGCTGCAGTGCAGCCTGCAGCAACGCGAGGGGCAGCAGCAGCAGACCTCTCCAACTCCACTGCAGCTCTGCAGTTTCTGCTGCTGAGCCCGCAGCAACAGCAGCAACGGCGTTGGCAGCAAGCGAACAGAGGACGGGGACGCAGAATGCGAAAAAGAGACGCAAATGAATATTCAAAGGCTTCGGCACAAAGCCAATCCCTCTGGAGCTCTTGCTACTATCGCTGCTGCTGTTTTTGCTGCTGCTGCGCGTGCTGCTGCGGGCAAGAGAGCGGCAATGAGTTAATCCCAGGTAGCTGCTGGCGTGTTGATTCATCAGGGAAGCAGCAAAACAGCCTCTTGCCACTGCATGCAACAGCAGCAGCCACCACGGAGAGAGTTGAGTATTTGCTGTTGCAGCTGCTGCAGCAGAAGCAGCAGCAGGGATGTCTATGCACAGATGCAAGAGCAGCACACAGCAAACGAAGACGACGAGGCGTTTAACTGCCCCCCAAATAAAGGCAGCAGCAGCAACAAAAACGGCAGCAACTGCTCCTGCGGTTGTCCTTCCCCGTCGCTTCTGCTGCAGTGTGTGCTGCTGTGTCGCTTCAGCATGCAGCAAGTGTGCTGCATCGCATGCAGCAGCAACGACTTCTCGCGGAGCCCCAAAGACAACCGCAGCAAGCTGTACGTCTCCAGCCACAGCCAACTGGGCCGCAGCATCCGTTTCGTGGGGGATAGAAGCCTCTGTTGCTGCTGCTTCTGCTTTAGCTTCTGCTGCTGCTGTACCTGCATCTGCTGCTGCTGGTCGCGCCTGCCCAGGAACATCACAAGAAGCTGTAGCAGCAAGGCATCGCCTCATAGCAGAAACGAGTTGCAGTAGGCGCTGCCGTTCGCTGCATAATACCTCGTTTGTGTTGTGCTGCTCCGTATGCTGCAGCAGCAGCAGCATCCGCTGCACCCAGTCCTGCTGCTTCTGCCGCAGCAGTTGGGTGTATGTCTGCCTCAAGCCAGAGACGACGTCTTGCAGCAGCAGCAAACCACAACCGCCCAAAGTGAATAGCCGCAGCAGCTGCTGCGGCAGCAGAAACACATTTGCTGTGCCTGGGAACCCCCATATGCCTCCAATGAGAAACTTATAGACAATACTGATCCTTAAAAACCAACGATAAAGAGAGGTGAAAGGGCTACAAATATATGTACTCAGAGGCGGCACGCTGCTGCTGCTCCTGCTGCAGCTGTGTGCTCCTGCTGCTTCTAGCGAAGATGCGTCTGCGTCGGTTGACGCCGCTGCACAAACAGAGGATTTGGTACTGCTGCTCCCCGCAGATTTGCTGCAGTTGGTCGTCTCCACGTTGCCGCTGCTGCTGCTGTTGCTGCTGCTGCCATCGCCGCTGCTGATTGCTTCCCTGCTGTTGGCCGTCTTGCTGCTGCTACTGCTGGGTAGACGAACAGAGGATTCAGAAGGTAGAGCAGCAGAGCGGCAGTTGCTTTGACTGCTGCCGCTCACGTCGTTGCTGCAGTACCTGCTGCTGCCAGCACCTGGCTGCTGTTCAGGGAGAGCGTCTTCCTCCATTGTGAAGTCCCTCTGGGCTTAGCAGTCCTTGCTGCTGCTCTTGCCGTGCTCGGTGGTGGTGGTGCTGCTGCAGTTCCCGTTGTTGCCGGCTGCTGCCGCTGCTCTGTCTGCTGCAACAGGCCGTCTGCTGTTGAGTTCCTACAAACTCTGGTGTAGTGGGGAAGCAACAGAGCGACTGGGGTGGTGAGCAAGTCTGCGGGACCGGCCTTCGCCGGTTTCTGTCCGGCTGTGTGCACTGGGTGTCTGTGAATAATGCATGTCTGTGTCTTTCACAGAGTAAATTTGGGGAAAGGGCAAGAAAAGGATGACAAATTCATAAGTATTTGCATTTCTTTGCATGCAACGAGAAGATTGGCTGCCTTCAGACACCCCATATCCTCTCTTCCTTCAGCTTCGTTGTGTGGTCTGTGGGTCGGCGTTGGTTGCGAAGCAGCGGAAACTCCAGACGTATTCGTTGAAAGCTTAGTTAAATTCACTATTTAAATCCATTTTGATTGCAATAATAATAATAATAGTTATTCTCCATTCCATAGTGAGGCTTGCATGCATCGGGGGACAGGAAACTTCGTTTATTTTGATATGCTTGGCTTTTAATTGATCTTCTTTTAGTATTGCACGTCTGCAAAATGCAAACATTTTTCCAAATGCGCTGAAACCTGCAGCTTTTAAGCCGTGCAGTGGGCGGATGCATGGTGTAGAGCTGTTCAAGGCAAATTGAACTCACCTCTGCTCACTAAGAATTAACAATATTAATCACTAAAAACAGTTACTAATTATATTAACAGCCATATTTGAGTCTCTTATTTTGCATTAAGTTGGAAGTTTGAAGCCGTTCATGAGACCGAATTAGTTTGAATTTCTGAATTCAAAGTCAACCAACGCAACGACGGCCTTAGCTAAGATGGGCCTTCAAATATAACTTTAAATGAAATGCTTTGTCTTGATTAAATTTTAAAGTGTTAGGGTTAAGGGATGTGGGCTTTAGCTTCTACAGTTTATGGTATTTATAGACTCCAAAACGGAGCAAAGAGAGAAAAACCCTGATTCTAAGGGAAGGAAGCGAAAATGCAGAAATGCTGCCGAATTCGATAGATTAATGCCGATGAGCCAATCAAAACGGAGAATATTTGAAAAAACACAGAGACACCTAACAACAACTACATATTCTTACCGTACACATAAGTGCATGTGCATTATCTACCTACCTATCTCTATCTCTCGCTCTTTCACTCTCTCTCTGTTTCTCCTTCTTTCCCTCCCTACATATGCACATACGTATGTTTAAAAGCTTTGCAGAACGTCGACTAGGTCCACCCGCTTCCTGGTGGCAAATAACCCGCCGTTTTGCTATTTCCTAATTTTAAAAAACTTTTTGCCGTTCTACCGTCCACTTCCAATGATTGTTGTCTACTACGGTGCCTGCTCGTATTCCTCTTTCGTTTCATCATAGTGCTGCGCTTGCTAGCTCTTTGTAGCCCATGCAAACGTAATATAAATAAACCACTCTCAGCAGCAAATCAGCAGCAGCCAAGAGAGACTGACGAAGATCCAGTAACGGAGGAGGAGGGGCGCAAGCAAAAGAAGAGGGAAGGGAGACCACAGGAACGCCAGGGAGGAAAGGGCAGCCTAAACAAACACGAGGTAAAAGCGTCTTTTTGCCTGCTTCGTCTGTCTATTTTCGTCCTCCTCCTGTTTAGCTCCAGCCGCATTTGTCTCTGCATTTCTACGTGTTCATTTAGTGCCCTTTCCACTGCGGGGGGTTTAACTACAAATAAAAAAAAATGCAATATTATGGAGATAAAATTATCTATAGAACGTGTATGTAACAACAGCATCCCCAATAATATATAGTGCTGCTAAACCCTGGAGGGCAAACCCTTAAACTTGCCACTGGAAGGCTGCCGCACATCCGTCAGAAAGCTTTAAGCTAGGGTACAGGGTTCGTAGCCTTCTGCGTAGCCCTGCGGCGGGGGCTGCCCCGCCGCAGGGCTTTAGGGTTTAGGTGTGGGGATGAAGATACTTGAATGTTGGGGTCTTACGCCCGCATTGTCTTAACGGGTAGATGCATGCGCTCTGTGGTTTGTATTTCCACTGTAAGCTGTACATGCATATCATGAGAAGAACTAAAAAGGACTCTGCTTCTGCTTTCACAAACCTACACGCATATTGAAGCTCGTGTCTCTTGTTGAGGTGCACGTACACCTAATTCGCGCCATGGGGAGTCGGAAATGTGAAGGAATCGGGCGGGTGATACTCTTGCCATTTCCACTTCTGCGAATTATAAAGCAACAGACAAGAGGTTAGGGTTTAGGGTTCATGGTGAAGAGCAGGCTGAGAGGCGACCAGTGGAAGACAAGACGAACACAGAGACAAAACAAAGAGATAAACGCTCTAAAGAAAGAGATAAACAAATAAAGCGATAAAATAAACAAAACAGACAAATTACATCGGTAAACAAGAGAGAGCTAAACAAATAGCCAAGCTACTAATGCAGCAGCAGATATAACCCTCTCGGGATTGTTTATGGACAAAGCTGCATAGGCTCATGTAACTTTCTGCATTTTTACCTCCTGCAATGAAATAAATGACTATAGAGTAAATACAAATAAAAGCATCCACAAACAAGAAAAAGGCAAGTGACAACGAGAAAACAACGAAGGTTAAAAGAACATGAGCAAGGAGGAAGCAAGCAACTGTTACGCTCCAACAACAACAGCAACAAATAGGCAATACAACCAAACACACCAGCCAAATTGAATTAAAAACACCAGCTAAACCCATTAAAAAACAACAAAATAATCACCTGAAAGGCATCTTCGGGGTCGCAGACACCCATCACTAGCTGGTTCCCCTTAACTGCCAGGCATTCTCTCAATAGCCGATTCCTTAACATTCCGTCTTCATAGTCCCACCTGTTGAATAATACGTAGAAACAAATCGAGTAATTAAATTAAATGAAGTAAATAAATAAATAAACGCAAGTAGCAAGTAAATAAGTAGACAAAATGAATGCTACTAAAGGGCCTTTTCCTGTGAACCCAATGCCAAAGCCTTGGACAATAAACAACTGAAAAGAAGGCAGACAAATTGTGGAAATGGAAATATGAACCGAGTAGAAAAAGAACAAACGGAGATATAGACGACAAAACAAATAAAAAAAGACAGAGGGAGAGAGAGGGAGAGAGAGAGGGAGAGAGGTAGAGAGAGAGAGAGAGAGAGAGAGAGAGAGAGAGAGAGAGAGAGAGAGAGAGAGAGAGAGAGAGAGGGAGAGAGAGAGAGAGAGAGAAACCGAGAGAGAAACAGAGACAGACAGACGCAAGGCGTACAGCGTCCGAGAAAAACGAAACAAGAACAGCAGCACAAACAAAAGCAAAACGGCAACGCCAGCTTGGGTACCAGCAGCAGCAGCAGCAGAAACAGCAGCAGCAGCAACAGCAGAAACAGCACAATTCTGGGATGAGTCCTCATAGAAGAAAACGCAATCACACAGCTGCTACTCCTCCTGTTGTAACTGCTGCTATTGCTGTTGCTACTCTTGCTGCGGTTGCTGCTGCTGCATTGGAGATGCACAACGAGTACGCACGAAGACTGACGCGAGTCGGCTTCTTTTTGTTGGCCTCGCCTTAACGAAAAAGCATCGAAAACTCTGACAGATATTTTTCTCAGAAAAAAGTTTTATTTATCTCACCACATGGGGTCCGTTGCCCTGCACCATTCCCAGTCGCCTCGGGGAGTCAAGCAGGCCTCATCGTTGTGCACAGGCATCACATGTCCTATTTTCCTGCATGCACACACACGCAAAATAGCAAATACAGCTGCTGAACCTGTTCCTGCTGCACCTGTTGCTGCTGCACCAGCTCCTGTTGCAACTGCTGCTGCTGCAGCTACTCCTGCTGCGGCTGCTGCTGCAGCTGCAAATGCATTTGAACATAAAACAACAAAATGTTCTGCTTCTGCTGGAGCTTTTGTTGACAGTTGCAGCTACAGCAACAGCTGTAGGTCTTGAACAGGCGGAGATGAGAGACAAACGCAATAATGGAAAGCATTGAAACGCACTGCAACAAACATTTCCGCCGGAGCCACTGACACCCCTTAGAGCTTCTATTTGTCCAGATCCAGCAAGCAAATGAGGGCAATTATCATTTTAAAGACAAACAAATATATCTCCATTAATGACGATATGCCACACGCACTGATCCCCTACACTTTCCTACAACCCGCATACCCGCGATTAACTAACAATAATAATACAAAAAACAGCAGCAACAATAATAAAATAATTACTATTATTTTTACGATTTGATACCATCAATTAAACCCATTTCTTAAGCAGAATTGAACAAAGCAGCTGAGGGGTTGTTAAGTCTAATATCGCAGTTTTGTTGCTGCATTGGAATATGCTCTTATTATCATTGTAATATTCTTATTCTTGTTTGTGTTACTGGTATTGCCATTGCTATTGTTATTGTTATTTTTAATATGATTCCTATTATATATTCTACACAACCGCCCCGCGGCTTATCTATATATCCACGAAAGCAGAGAACTGATTAGATATTGGGGGGGGAAATAATTATTATTTTTTTTTATCTTGTGAATCTCCGCTGAATTCATGTGCTGCTTCCTTCTTTTCTTCCCCTTGACTCTCTTATGCTTTTCCCTTACCTAAAGTACATAAACTCCTGCGTCGCATGCCCAGGGGCGCATTGTTTTAAGGCCGGACGGCCCCCAGGAGAACCGCGGGTAACGGTATCCAAACATAAACCCGATCCGCTGTTTTCAAGCTGACCTGCGACAACAAACCCTAAACCCTAAACCCTAAATCCTAAATCCTAAGCCCAAAACCCTAAACCCCGGACCCGAAACCGCCGTCATCCCGTCTTTCTTTCTCGAGGAAGGAGCATCAAACACTGTACAGTGTTACCTGCACTGCTACCTTGTTGTTTAGAGTGCAGCTTAAGCATACGAATAAGGGATGTTAATTGAATCGCACGCAATTCAGACATATTCAGGCTGCAACAGAGAGCGTTTCCTTCAGGGTTTAGGACTTGATCGCTAAGCAGAAGAAGGTTTGTTGCTCATGACGTGTGTTTGTTTGTCTGTTTGCTTGTTTGTTCGTTAGTTCGTTTACCTAAGTAAGGGACATCTGAGAGGTGTACAACGTCTCCTTCTGGAAAAACGTTTTCCATAAACCACTTGAAGCTTTTGCAGTTGTGCGTTTTTCTCCACTGTCTTCTTCGTTCAAGGGACTCTACCCCGAAGTCTACTTGGGGCCTCCCGAGTACGCGCCAGGCTAAGTCAGCATATTCATCCATCCAGAGTAAAGTTCTCATTTTGTTAGAAACAAGGGCTTTAGAAGGGAAGCTGTATCCCGCTCCCCCCTTTCTGAATATGTGGTATACGCGGCTGCACGGGGCGCACTCAAGTATGCCCCCGCACTGCCAGAGGCGGAAGCTGAACTCAAGATTCTCCGTGCCCCAGTACTTGAAGCCTTCATCATAGGCTCCAATAGAGAAGAAGAAATCTTTATCCGCAGCAAACAAACCCCCTGCCATTGCAGGAGATGTCTGGAAGTCTGTAGGTGAGTGCCGCCGCTGCTCTTCAGGGAGCCTCTCCATCTGATGAGGCTCATACGAATGCTCCATTAACTGCCATAAGAAACCCAGTTTACAGCCTATTCCCCCTGCTATATGCTCGAGTGTCTCTGCATCTATTCCGTCTACCTGAGGCATTACAATCCGCCGACGGTCCTGTTGAATGCGCGCCACTAAGGGCTCAAGCCACTGGGGCTGGACCTCAATGTGACTGTCTAGAACAACAAAAATAGAAGCTTCTGCTGCTCGAATTGCTCGAAGACGAGCCCCTACGATCCCCTCCCGCTGCGGACTCCGCAGCAGCCGCACCTTCGGCAGCAAATCTACATAACGCTGCAGCTTCCCGTTGCCTGAAGCCGCCACGTCCGGCGCATCGCTGCCGTCGTCTAGCAGAACCACCTCGTGCAGCAGAGAAGGAGGCGTTCGATTTAATACACTGTGCACTGAGCGCATCAGCGTTGAGAACGGCTCGTTATAAAAAACCATCAATACAGAGGCAGAGGGAAGAGACTTCAAATCGTACTCCAACTTCCTGCATGCAGGGTGGCGAGAATCTGGGGCGTCGCGGTCAAGAGGCAGATGATCGCTTAACTGCAAGTTGAAACCTCCTCCTCGTGCCAACTCCAGGGGCATGTGCAGGTCCTGTACATACATCCCAAATGAATCACGCACTTAAAATAAACTTTCAGACCCCTCCCCTAAACCCACTACCCCATTCAGAAAGTCAACTGCTACACGAACAACCCCTGCAACGAGCAGTCGCCTCTATGCCTCCGGTGCATGCACAGACGCCACACCAACTCAGAAGCAACGCACACACGCTACACATGGCAACCTCCCGTGATTTCATCTAAAAGTATTCTTCCTTTCTCCAAATACAACGTACAGGAGGTGGGGGAGGCGCGGGAACATGGGCTGGGGTGCCGTCTGGGTTCAGGCCGAGGGGTCCATGCATCATATTGGGGTTCAACCTGCTGCTATTGCTGCTGCTGTTTTCGGAAACAGAATGGAGGTCCCCCTTGCGCTGAATAGCGCCGGAGAACTCCGCTGCAGAGTCATCACCTTCGGCGGTGAGCTGCACCCCAGGCAACACATACCGCGTCAGCAGCACTGCGTTAAGGAGAATCGAACCGAACCCCAACGCCATCACCGTCAGCTGCAAACAACCCCAGACAGGCCGCCTCCAGTCCGCAGATTGGACGTGGCTTTCGGGCATGGTCAAGGTGGCGGAGCACACGAGGAGCTGAACACGCTGAAAAGCACCGGAAAGAGGGAATGCAGGCAACTGCAGCAGTCTACTCAATCACTTGAACGACTCCTGCACCAAAGTAACGAAATAGCCGCTTAAACAACATCAGAATCCTGCACATATACGCCCAATCAGGCAACGCCGGACGTTGACCGAACCGTCGAATGGTACCACCGGAAGCCTCCTCTTATGCAGCTCCAGCTGGAAAATCTTGACTTTTCTTGAACATAAACAAAAAAAGTGAAATGCAACACTATTAAAACAGCTGTAAGGGCAGCATGAATTAACTTTCCGCTCCGATGCTCTCGCGAGGGCACCGAGCCCAGGGCACCTGCCTGTACAGCTCAGCCGCCTAGACGCGGAGCCACGAAGGAAGGAGCTGATTATCCATTAATTTTTATTTTACTGACTGGAATACCACCATCTTTTTGTTTTCAGTTCTATCCACGTTTCAAATCTTCAGAACACGTCCTCCTCCCGCCGCCGACATGACAGTGCGCATGCAACTCGTCGCAGCCCCGGTAGACAGACCACCGAATATACTGTCGCGCAAAAGTTACCATTCATTATTCCCTGTAGCGGGTAATTGTATGTGAAAGCAATAATGATCAAGATTTCACATCTCTCGTTCAAAGCTTGGCCCATTCTGATATTGCAGGTCTTCACAATGCTCGAAACTAGAGAAACGTGGAGATAAGGAACACCCCTATCTGTGTGTCAATGGAGCACCTGCTTGTCGAGTCTTGATAATTTAATTATAACATGGGCTGCCTGCGCCGGTCAATCGCAAGGTTGGCTAGGTTTGTTTCAGCTGTAGGAATAGCGCGTATTTAAGTGAAAATGCAGACTATCTATATAAAAAGATCTATTGATTGCCTGAAATAAATGTATAATCATGCACACTTCGTCTGGGCCTTAAACAGCAGCAAGGCGGTGATATAAATATTTTCACGAAGGAATGGTAAACAGCTATTATTAGTTAATTAATATTCATAATACTGGTCTACAGTTGGCACTAGAAATAATTCCATTAGTATTTATACTAAGCCAATTATTTTTAGTGCCTACTGAAGACCTGAGACAAAAAACATGCAAATATTCATCTGTTCTCTTTCGAGTTAAAAATCGCAGTCGATGTTAACAAAAATCTGCAATGTGCATGGCTCAGCGAATACACGACAGAAAGCCTTAAGAGGGCAGACATCAGTTAATATCATTAGGGTCACCTTCTTGTTAATGCACTTTAATTATTTTTATCCGTATTCATTATTACTCCCATTATTATTGGGGCTTCATTATTATCTGAGAGCTTCGCGTGCCGGCGTTAATATGCTTGCACGGCGCCATTCGATTCTCTTTTAAGAAAATCCTTCTATTATTCTTTTATTTTCAATTGTGAAATGAATCGAACACTTTAACAATCTAAATCCTTTATTTTTAGCCAGATGAGCTACGTTTGTTGAGGTGTGCACACAGCCATTTCCTTCTCCAGTAGGTGGGGTGTAGGCAACGAATTAACATCTAAAAGGAAGCAAACGAAGGAGAAAGAAAAAGAGTGGAAGAAAAGAGGGCACCTCATCAGCAAGAGAGAGGGTCGTTTGAACACAAAGGCAAATTAAATGAATGACCCACAAAGAATCTGCTCTTCTCGTTGTCATCCAACATGAGTGTCTGCCCCTCTTAAATGCCTCTACTTTCTCTAAGTAAAGTACTGTAAAAGACAGCGCAACCCTACTATTCTTCATTCTCCATTCCACGGCCTATTGCATCTCTTTGCCTTCATTTTAAAGCACAAAGAAACCTCAGAGAGGGACATAGGGACCTGGGCGAACGTTTCTTAGGTGCCTTCGTTACACCGCCCGCTGTAGGAAGCACCAAATGGAAGCCAATTGGCTGCTATTGCATATTCAAAATGCGACGAAGTCCACAAAGGCCAGCAAGCGAACAAACCCCATTGCAATTACTTAGGAGGGAGACATCCAGAGCCTCCACGACTTCCCATGGACCCCATACTGTTGCGATTACGCCAAGACAACTGCCTAGAGGTCAACATTTTTGTATCTGCATGCATTAATACACATACAACTAGAGATTGCTGGCTGAGGAGAAGAAGATTCAGAGGCCCATAGTTCTCTACACGGGCACTGCGCCCACTCCGTTCTAGTTTTGCATGCAGAAGCGATAAGAAGTCGTCCTTTTGCTCTTTCGAACATCTCTCCATTTTGTAAATAGGAAAAAAACGTTGACTGAATAGTGTCAATCAGTAGACACATTCACCAGTACACCTCACAGCTGGTAACAATTACTGTGCCGCCGCCCCGTGCGCTGCGGGGTTGCTAGCAGCTGCAGCGCAGCACATGGTTTTTCCGATGCATTTCTCATTTTTAAATCCACCAACAAACATATTATTTATTTATAAGCAATATGATGCACTTACATCTCGAACGAAAAGAGAAGGAAGGCGCACAGCAGTAGGTGAGCGCCTGCAGTGGGTGAGTGCCTCTGGTGCTCTCCTCTCTGACAAGTTCATGTTTTTGAGAGAATGATGCATATGTTCTGAAGCTAATAATTCGTTATTCTTTGTTTTTTTTGCTTAATTCATTCAGTCAGTTCGGGTAGCTGGCTTCAAAGAGGTTTTTTTTGCACTAAGGCAACAACGTACAACGCCGCCTGGGATGCGTGCGCGATCACGCAGGCACTTGGGCAGTTAAATACATCATGCAGCAGAGAGTGTAGTAATTAGAGGTATTAGCAGCCTAAAAAAGCAATTTATTGCAAGAGATGCAGCAGAGATGCGTTTTAAAGGGTGGAAAGCTCGCGCCCGCCCCCAGCCTTAACACGCAGTACATGTTGAACGAACGAGTGTTGTTGCTGCATGGGGGGCTATGATTTGCCCTTTCCCGTCTCTTGCGGCGAGAGAGCCAGTTCTTTCATATCTACTCGTTTGTCTCTTTTAGTTAAAAGGAGAAAACAAATGGTAATCTCAACAAACTTGAACAGAGCACTCCGAAGCCAGATGGCTACCGGCGGGTAGGCAGAACTGCACAGACGGCTGGCAGAGGGCGCCCGGAGACTTGCGTTTATTGAGGTTTAAAGGAGAGACGAGAAATAAGACGTTTCTCTGGTGTTCTAACTTTACTTTGCATTTATTTTGAACCGTTTTTTCGAGTTTTGCAGTCGCAGCTTTCACGCATCGGAGCGCACGCGTGCCGCGTCTTGCAGCAACCGGACCATAGGGCACAGGAACCTTCGCAGTTGGCCGCGAAACCGACGGTGAAGTTTTCTTGTTTATTGTTTATCTTGTTTATATTTGCGGATTCTAAAACGGTTTTTACTTTAGATGCCATTTTAAACATGGGAACATCGAAGATTCAGACACCTTTCCGACTTTGCCTGGAGTGTACGCCCGCCAAACTGCTGCCAATCCGCGCTCGCAAGGGATCGCCAGTTTTTTCTCGCTTGTTTCATCAACATTAGAGAAGCCTTTTGCTTCTCATCTCTTTTAACTTGCTTTTCGTCTTGCTATAAGAACACTGCGTGCATTCCTGGGGCACTTCTTCGTGGCGTACGTCCCTCTTGCTCGTCTTAACAGGACTGTGAGCTGCAGAGCCGTAGAGAATCTCGTTTTCCTATTGAAACCCGCCTTGATCGGGGCCTTTTCTCCGAACCTACTGCAGCATTCGTCAAAATAGACAAGTTTCTCTGCATTAAAGGAGACCTACGGGAGGCACAGACGCGTGTGAACTCGCCCCACCGGCGTTGCCCCGCAGAGCAGCCGTTCGCTTTCTTAGTGTTTTACCGCTTCAATTCAAATTGCATCTTCTTTTCTGTGTCGAGGGGCGTTTGCGTCTCCAAAGGTCTCCAAAGAGGAGCAAGAAAGCGACGCAGGTGCTGCAGCTGAGCGGATTCAGAACACCTGAGGTCGGCGGCGCCCGCGCAGCGTTCTGTTGCATTTAGTAAGGACCACTGCAGCACTTCTCTTCGCCTATATTTCAAACTTCTACGGCATTTGAGGTGTCTTGCGAGGTCTTCTCTCCGCTGTTGCTTCGTACGTTGGCTGACATCAACCACCACTTGGTGATGTCGCCGCACAAAAGAAACTTGGCTGCTGCTGCAGCACCTGCAGCAGTTCAAGACCCACAACCGCTTAAGGGGAAGAGAGCGCGATCAACGCGCGCCCTACAGATGGAGGAGGCAGAGCTGTGTCCTCGCGCGGCTGTCGCTAACGGCACGCAGCACGAAAAGGCTGACGGCAGCAGTAGCAGCAGCAGCAACGGTGTGAACAGCAGCAGCAGCATCAGCATCATCAAGAGCCCAGAAGGAGGCTTAAAAGAACCGACAGCAAAACGCAGACGCAGCAGCACCGCCAGCAGTCGCCGCAGCAGCATCAGCGTGCCTACGGACGAGCGCCCCGAATCACGACTATGTACGTTTATTTGTTTAGTTGTTTATTCCTCTTACTTGAATGGGCGTATTTGGGTATACACGCGTTTGTTTCTATAGAATGCATGCGTTCTTTGTCTGCCTTTGTCAGCTGCAACGCCGTCTGTTCGTTCTGTCAGCTTTCGCATTCATGTTTTGTGTCTCGTTTTGTTTCTTTCTGCCTCCTTCTTTTTATCTCGATGGTTGTTTATTGATATTGTTTTAATGCTGCTGCATTTTTTGCTTTGCTGCAGGTGAAACATCCAAAGAAGACAGCAACGCCGACTCCCTCTGCAGCACGCAGCAACCGGCGACCCCCGTGAGGCAGTCTCATACACCGGAGCGTTTATGTGCCTCTCCTTCCCCTCGTTCAGACTCTGCCGAGGCGCAGTTAACAGCAGCAGCAGCAGCAGCTGCTGCTGCAGCTGCAGCAGCAGCAGCTGCTGCTGCTGAAGGAGGAGACGGAAGAGCTGGCGAGACAGCAGACAAGGAGAGAGGAGACAGACTGCAGCCACCGCTATTTCCTGCCGCCTCCCCCACCCCTTCCCTCTCCTCTGATGCTGAGCTATGCTACTCTCAGCCCCTCTCGCCTGCAGCAGCGTTCCTTTACAGCAGCAACAGTAGCAGCAGCAAGTCAACGACCGCCTCAAGCGCAGATCCCCAGCAGCAGCAGCAGCAACAGCAGGAACAAGAGCAAGAACAGGAGCAGGAACAAGAACAAGAGCAGGAGCAGCAAGAGCAGACCTACGAGGGTGCTTGCTGCTGCGATGTGGCTGGGTATTTGCCCGGACGCGGCGGAGCCCTATTGGGCCCCAACTACGCAGATGTACATACAGCAGAAGAATACGCGGGGCTGCCGAGGCGCCCCATCAAAATAATGACTTACAGCAGCGACGGAACGTACACCGAGACATTCTGTGAAGAAGAAGAAGACAATAATGAAACGCCTCCTCCTGGGGCAGCAGAGGAAGCCCCTGCAGCAGCTGCTGCATCAGATCCATCAGCAGCAGGAGCAGCAGGAACGACTTCTCCTTCCCAGACAGTAGAGGGTGCTCCAGCAGCATCAGCAGAAGGTGGAGAGGCAGCAGCAGCAGAGAGCGGCACGGCACCGAGTGTAGCGACCGCAGGAGCCTCGTCAGAGGTGTCGGGGGGAGGGTCCGCAACAGCAGCACCATCAGCAGCAGCAGCAGCAGCTGCTGCTGCTGCAGCTGCTGCAGGAGGCGGAGGGTATCAGCGTATATTGTGGGCTGATGAAGTGATTGATGCCTCCTATCGCCGCAAAGTTTGGTACCGCACAGACTTGCACACATTCTTCTCCTGGCTGCGCAGCCCGAGCCGCCACAGGCCAGTGAAGCAACGGACATTTAATGCAAAAGTCTTGGGGTATAGCGAGGCGAAGCGCCTCGCTTTTTTGTTTCACCCAGAAGAGTGCGGAGATGCAGACTTTAAAAAGGTATATTACCTCTGGAAACTTAAAATGAAAGGCAAAAAGAAAGAAGAAGAAGCAGCAGCAGCAGCTGCGGCGGCTGCAGCAGATGCTGCAATGCAAGATGCCCCCACAAACGCTGCAGGCAAAGACCCTACTGCAGCAGCAGCAGCAACAGCAGCAGGAACAAACCTGCCGGCAGATGAAGCAGACGCAACGGATGCAGCTACAGCTACAGCAGGAACAGCAACAGCAACAGCAGCACCGCTGCAGCAACAACCGAGCAACCGAAGAGGCTGGACGCTGAAACGCAGGAACACGAGGCAGCGGGATGCGGCAGCAGCAGCAGCAGAGCAGCAGCAGCAGCAACCGCCCCCTGTTTCTGCTGTAGCTGGAGAGGTCTTATCTGGCCACGTGGGGTTTTCTTTCTCCTTGTCTACTCCTAGGCAGCTGAGATACCTCAGAGACTTCGGCACTATTAGCGGCGCTGCTCTAGAAGACGCGCTTTTCTCAGAAAGCAGCAGCAGCAGCAGCAGCGCAGCAGATGATGCCGCAGCAGATGCAGCAGAAGAAACTCCACAAGACCCTTGGCGCGTTGTTGAGGCAGCCGCATGGGACTTCGGTTCTGCCGGATGCATCACCTTTGCTTCGCCCTTTGAAGAGGAGGAGGAGCAGCAACAGCAAAAGCAGCAGCAGCAGCAAGAAGAGGAGCTACCGGGCTCATCGCTTGATGCAGGAGAAAAGCAGCACAAGAAATCTGCGGGGGTAGAGCCCTCGCATTCTCAACGCCACAGCAACAGACAACAAGCAGCGTTAGAAGCAGCAGCTGCTGCTGCTGCCGCAGCAGCAGCAGCAGGAGCGTCCGCTGGGGCTGCTGTACAGCCGCCACAGCAGAAACAGCAGAAACAGCAACGAAGGACGCAACAGCGACAGTCCCTTGCAGCACAGAGCTCTCGCATTGTAGAGGAACAAAGGATGCAACAGCAGCATCAGCAGCAGCAGGAACTGGAGGAATTGCAACAACGACGGATCGCATTAGAGAGGCGGCTACAGCAGCAGCAAGAGCAACAAATGCTGTTGCTGCAGCTGGAGGCAAGGAAGATGGAAGCTCAGATATTGCAGCGACGGCAAGACCTGGAGCAGCAGGAGTTGCAGCAACAGTTGCAGCAGCAGCTGCAGCAGCAGCTCCGTGCTGCTGGAGTCGTGCAAAGACCCGACCCCCAGGAGGAAGAGAGGAAACAGCGCAGGGCAGCGGAGAGGCGGTGGTTGGCTGAAATGATTGGGGACCTGCAGCAGCAGCAACAACAGCAGCAAACTCAGCAACAGCAGCAGGTTCACCAGCAAGGGTTTGGGCGTTGCCGCCCCAGTGAGGTCCCGGGGAATCAGTCAGAAGTACAGCGAGTAGTGGAGTCAGCTGCGACTGCTGCGGAGTTGCAGCAGCGGCAGCAGGATTTGGCGTTGCTGCTGCAGCATTTAAACCCCCAAGTGCGGCAGCGGCTCTATGAGCTCGTGCGAGACAGACTGCTGCAGCCGTAGCAGCACCATCAGCACCGCTGTTGCAGCTGTAGCAGCAGCAGCACTGCTGTTGCAGCTGTAGCAGCAGCATCACCACTGCTGTTGCAGCCGTAGCAGCAGCAGCACCACTGCTGTTGCAGTCGTAGCAGCAGCAGTAGTAGCCACAGCAGCAACAGCATATATTGCGGTTGTTGTTTGTTTGTTGGCCTCGTGTACGAGCGAGGCGGTTCGTATAGGTTTAATTGTACATTGGAAGCGCATTGTTGTTGTGATGAATTGCAATTAAATGATGAGGATTTGTTGTTGATGGCTCCAGGTGTACGTGCACCTCCGCCTTTCAGCACACATAAAACGCCTTGGCGCCTCTTGTTGCAGTGCATTTCTTTTTATCTGCAGCCAATGTACCTTTTGCTGCAAAAAACGTAAACTCGTTATTTTGCTGCAATAAAACCCATACTACCACACGAATCTCCCCTCTCGCTGCTGCTGCATTGTTTTACTGCAGCAAAGCCTATAACTAATCTGCCGCCTATATTCTTCCCTTATAGCTGAACCATTCGAATTGGCTGAAGTACACTGAATAAATTTGTATCATCAGTACAACTTGCACACGAGTTTCACTTGGCATTTTTGTATATTTACAGTACCACCTCTATTAACAAACAGAATGCCACTTAGGATTAAACAAGAAAATAACGGTAACGAACAAAACAAACTCTAACTCCGCTCTAGCGCTCGTCTTGCTGCCGTCTGCACGACTGTCCAGCCTTGTAATGCACAAAAAATACATCCATGTATGAATATATATATATATATATATATGTACATATATATCAACTAAACCTGAACAATTAATCCATGTAGTAAACTAGGAAGGCGTATTATTGTTCTTGCAGGTCCAATAATAGAGGACAGCCGCTGCAGCCAGAGGCAACAGCAGCACACACCTTCCCTTCGATGTTTAGAATATCCATGTATATATACATATGGATATATCACTACACACCAAGACAGTACTGAAGATGGCCTAGGCTTAAACAATCGTCTTAAAAGCATATCTATACAATGACGAATAGTAACCTATAACAACAGAAAAGTCACTAAGCTAATATTGAGCGCAGATAACGCACGCAAGAACCGATTATTTAAAGGCCATACACAGCAGATAGAGGTAAAAATGCCTCAAATGACGAAATACCGAACGCGCATAAGTACAAAACATAAACACAATCATACAGCAATCGAACATGCACAAAATGAATAATTGTTAGCCCCGAAAGGCCCCAGAAATTGCCGCCTTCCCGTGAGGGTCGGCGAACGGGAATTGGAGTAGTTTTCAACTAGCAATCATCGCGCATCCGCTAGGCGTCATGTGCAGCGACATTGCCCCTTCCGCAAGGATGGAGAACGGTGCTTGAATAAAGCCCCACCCCTTCAGGGCATGAACGGCGAATAAGAAGTAGGGGTAGTTTTGCCCCAGAAAAACGTCGCGATCATGGTTTTAATATATTTAAATAAACATTCAAACGATAATTTCTAATTAATTAAAAAAGAAATGATTAATTCACCAACTTTTAAAGGCGATTCAAGTGATCTGGTGCAGCGGATTATGATGCCACTGGCGTCTGATATAACACCCACCACCGTGGGTGGAAGAACAAGTAAAGATGTTTTCTTTTCCCTTTTCCTCACTGTAATAATTTAAAAATGCAAATTTAACTACTTTTAGAACAAACAAATCCAATTTTAGGCGGGGGGAGAGGAGCAAACACAACAGCCTTACCCGTCCAGCCGGGGGATTTGCATTTCATGCATTTCATGCTTGCCACGGTTGGGTCTTCTTTGTGCGGTCTAAACAGCAGATTACTTTCAAAAGTTCAATTAACAACATCTTATCAGAATTGGTGTTAAAAGCATATTCATAAAGGTGTCTTTTTCATGCCATTCTTCTTCATTTATCGCTAATTACCCCTTCTTCGGCGTGTGCTGGTATACAGTGAACTCTAGGAGGGGGGAGTGTGGGTGTACGACGGTTGGTTTGAATCTTTTGAAGCCATTCTTTCGCTTAAGCATCTTCATCTGAACAGTAGTCGATGATAAAATGCAAAAAAAGCCTTTTTATAGTGTTAAAGGATACAGCGGGACCAGTGGTCTCTATGACATCGGCTTGTGCTCTCCCTGTGTTGCAACGCAGTGCAGGTTCGTTATTCTTAGGAGTTTAGTCCCTTCTTTGAATGAAATATGCTTAATAATAAGTAATGATATATGCAGTAAACGTTTACAGGCTGATATGCCAGCAGAAAACACAAGGGACCGCAAGCAGAGCCCGTCCAAAAACGAATTGAAAAGGAGATTTGAATAATATTTGCGGTCTCAGACGTATATGCAGCTTTTTCGTTATTAAAATTGTTCTTAGAGAGCACGAAATAAACAAGAAACAGGCTCTTTATAACCTCCTTGACAACCGACTCTGTTAGTAAGGAGGCGAAACACGCCAACCAAATCAGAAACAAGGAAAGCCATAAACAGACAAAAAACAGAGAATTCTGAGGCCTTTCATTAGTAACAAAAGGCAGCTGCAGTTCATTAGTAAGGAAATAACTGTAGAGCATAGGAGGAGTTCTCCTGCTGTGATGCAGAGGGGTTATAAAATAATAAACACAAACAATTGAACAAAGTGTTAAGAAAACAAAAACAAATTTAAAAGCAAGAATAGAGAAGGAAGAATAGCAAGCGTAACACCGAAGCCGTCGTCGGCGGTGTGTCCGAGTGGTTAAGGAGATGGACTTGAAATCCATTGGGCTCTGCCCGCGCAGGTTCGAACCCTGCCGCCGTCGCTTATGTTTATTATTATATATATATTTATTCAATTAAATAAACGCTTAACCATTCCCTACTCTTTCTAGTTTATAGCGCATGCCACTACTCTAATAATGGAACGCCGCAGTTCAGGACAAATAAAAAACAAATGGCCGGTAGATGCAAACGCCAACAAGAAAATATATACTTAAGTAGCGAAAATAAACAGAAAAACCAGTACTGACGAACGAGCAAATAATAAGTATAAGTAGACAGACGACAAATAAACAAAATAACAAGCGAAATAAATAAATAAATAAATCAATCAATCAATCAATAAACAGGTGAAAAGTAAACAAAACCAAACAACAAACAAATAAGAGACCAAACTCACAGCAATATATAAACAAACAAATGACAAGCAAAACCAAATAAATAAATAAATACCGGAAAGAAGAGACGAATTAATAAATAAACTGATGAAGGGCAGATAGGGGGACTGCAGCAACAAATAAACACCACTGAAGATAAATAAACAAATAAATAAATAAATAAATAAATAAATAAAACAACCCAAAGAAAGTCATCTTCTGTAGTTGGAGCCTGAGCAGAGGTCCATTCCCTCCTCAGCATCAGTTGCTGCTGCCGCTGCTGCTGCCGCAGCAAGACCTGCTGTTGCATCAGCAGTTGCAACAGCAACACTGAATGGTACAGCAGCAGCACTAACTGCATTAGCAACTGCAGCAATAACTGAAACATTAACTGCTTCACAAACTGCAGCGCTAACTTCAGTAGCAACAGCAGCTGCAGCAGCAACTGCAGCAGCAACAAAAAGCTGCAGCAGCAGCTGCAGCAAGATTAGGAGTTAGATTTCATCGATTAAATCGAAAGGGTCTAGAGGAGGGAAGTCTCCGACTGTCACCTCTTTGGGTTTTACCCATTCTCCGTATTTATCTCCAGAACACTCAAAAAGCCTTTTGCTGCTGAATACCAATTTGCGGCCTGCCGCTGCTGCTGCTGCTGCTGCTGCTGCTGTTGCAGTTGCTGCTGCTGCTGCTGCTGGCTGCAAACCCCCGAAACGAAAGTCCCTCCCGTCTGTCAAACCCAGAGGCTCATCTAAAGCCACGCCTAAACCCACACAAAAACCCTGAAACACAAAACCCTGAACCCTAAACCCTAAACCCTAAACCCTGAAAATGCCTAACCATAAGAGGCATGAGGTACATGCGTGTTATTATTTGTTTTTAATAAATAACAATCAAAAACATGTTTTTAATATTTGTTTTTAATCAAATAAAAAGTATTTGTTTTTAATATTTATTATTAATTTGTTTCATTTGAATCTGTCGGTCAAAAGTCCTTGGGTTTTGTCCAAATGGGTAGTTTGCAATTAAAAATAAAAAAGAATTAAAACGAATAAAAAATATTTCTTTATTTTATTCGTAGTATATTCCATTAAAACCAAACAAAAACAATCTATATATAATTTAAACAATGAAAGACGCTATTGTAGAATAAATAAATAAGTAAATATAACTACATAACTATATAACTATATAAATTTATATTATATATTATATATAAATATAGCCAGCTGATTGCATTCATTGAAATCGCTTTCTGCCCGACGTTTTTTATTCATTTTAGGGTTGTTTACACTTAAACTTATATTTATTTTACCTTACGTTAATTAATTTAGTTTACTATTATTACTATTTAAATTAAATTAATTTAATTATTATCTCAGTTAATTTAATTTACTTTTGTTATTACTCTCACCTATCCAAACTTCGCCGTTGGGGCGCGAGGGTCGCGCACCCACAAAAACAACACAACCGCGACGATCACCTGATAACTGCGCACAGCAGCAGCAGCAGCAGCAGCAGCAGCAGCAGGAAATGAATCGGAAGTAGCAGCAGAAAGTGAATCACCAGCAGTAGAGAGTCAACAGCAGCAGCAGGGAGTGAATCAGCACTAGCAGCAGTAGCCAGTCAACAGCAGCAGCAGCAGCAAGTCTGCAGCAGAAGCAGCAGCAGCAAGCTAGTAGCAGCAGCAGCTGGCACAAACAATAGACACAGCTGCAACTCCCACAGAGGCAAAAGCAGCACGTGAGTCCAGCAGCAGCAGCAGCAGCAGCAGCAAAATCGACTTACCATACACCTCGAGCCAATAGGGAACATCTGACGGATCTCCTCCTCATTTTCCTGCTGCTGCTCGTCCTGCTGCTGCTGTTGCTGCTCTTCCTCCTGCTGCTGCTGAAAAAGCTCTGGCTTGCTGCTTTGCAGGTTTCTAAGGAAGCGCCTCATTGAATCTCCGCGCTGTTCATACACCTCGTCAGCCATTCTATAGCGGGATGATATATCCGTGTCTCTGTCTGCTGCTGCTGCTGCTGCCACATCTCCAGCTGCTGCTGCTGCTGCGCAGCCGCTGCCTCCACCGTTAACACCAGACGAATCGCTAATAAGTAGTGTACACCCAGACGGCAAACACCCAAACATCCTGCAGCAACAGCAGCATTAAGAGCAGCAGCAGCAGCAGCAAGAGCAGCAGCAGCCATGGAAACCGCAGCAAGAACATCTGCAGCTTGGACCGATCTCCTTTGTTTGCTAGTTTGCTGCCGGGTTCGCTGCAAAACCAAACCCTAAACCCTATACCCTAAGCCCCAAGCACATTAACAGCCTCAACAATAAACCTAACAATAAACCCTAAACCCTGCTTTCCTAAAGCCTAGACCTTGAACCCTAAACCCTAAACCCCAAACCCTTGCTGTCTGCTTGCCTGAGAGACAGTTCGTCTGCATCCACCAAGGGAATACATTTTTGCTGCTGCTGGGAATCAGTAGAAGGCAGCAGCAGCTGCAGCGTCATGTTGCTGCTAGATGTACCTGAAAAGCAGCAGCAGCAGCAGCAGCAGCAGCAACGGCAAGAGTAGCAGCAGCAGCAACAGCAAGAGCAGCAGCAGCAACAGCGGCAGAAACCGCTGGGCGAGTCCGGAAGATAGCTAGCTAGGTAATTAGTTCGGTAGCTAGCTAGCTAGCTAGCCAGCTGGTTGTTTATTAATTGCTTTATCTGTTTTGTTTCTTTCTATCATTATTTACTACAAAGGTATTTATGTGCAAGAACGATGCGTATAAAATAAACAAACAAACCTACCTTTATAGTTGTGTGCATGCATCTATTATTAATTTATTTAAATAAATAAACAAATATATAAAATACACAAAAAACCAAATCACATAATCATTTACTTAACACCTGAATACTAAACAACTAAATATAATAAAAATAAACTAAACTAAAACAAATAAATAAATAAATAAACGGATAAACAAATAAACAAATGAGTTAAATGATTTATTTACCCGTATGTTTGTAAAGTTTTTCTTTAATTTCTATTGATGCATCAAATTCAATTTGTATGAATGCTAAACAATTAAAAAAGACAATAAAACCAAACTAACGAGTAAATAAATAAATAAATAAATAAATAAATAAACAGATAAACAAATAAATAAATAATTTAAATGATTTATTTACCTGTATGTTTATAAAGTTTTTCTTTAACTTCTCCTATTGATGCATCTATATCAATTCGTAGTTCTGCCCATCTACGCCCTGGAAAGGCAGAGTGAAGAACATCGACGCGAGCGTAAGGCGAAGCCATTGATATTACTTTATATTATTTTATATTATTTTATATTATTTTATTTATAATATATATATATTATAATAATAATAAAATGAAAACGTATTTATTTAGTGGAGTCAGAATAATGTATTATTCAACGAAGGAGAAAACTGCAAGTTTTATTGCAGTTTTATTTGTTTAGTTTATATTTAGTCTTTGTTTCTTGAGGTTATAATATTAATAATAGTAATAATAATAATAAAAATAATAATAACAGCTGCCCGCCTCCTTGCTCTGCTGCTGTTCCTAATGCTGCTGCTCCTCACGCGGCTGCTACTGCTGCTGCCGCTGCTGTTTTCGCAGTTGTCGCTGTGATGCAGCTGCTCTTGCTGCTGCTCCTGCTGATGCTGATAGTGCTGCTGGAAGTAATGCAGCAGCTGCTCTTGCTGCTGCTGCTGGCGTCTCGGTAGTGGCGACTGCAGTTGCTGCTGCTGCTGTATTTGTTGCTGCTGCTCCTGCTGCCGTTACTGCTTCTAGTGCTGCTCCTGCCTCCCCTCTACTCCCTAGGCTGCTGTTGCTGCTGCTGCAGCTGCCGCACCAGCAGCTCCTGTTGCATGCGCTGAAAGAGCTGAGGGCAAACTGCCTGCAGCAAACTTTCAAATGACTCGAAGACTGCAGCAAAATGTTGAGGTGTACGTACACCCCAGGCGGCGAGCTGCTGCTGCTGGGCCTGACTTAGCGGCTTTTCTTGCTGCTTCCGCTGCTGCTGTTGCTGCTGCTGCTGCTGTTGCTTCTGCTGCAGTGACTTCACGGCAACTTGGGGAGTCTGGCCTGGTAGGCAATCGAGCTGCAGCAGCTGCAGGAGCAGAGCAGCAGCAGCAGCAGAACAGCAGCAAGACACGACCATAGTAACTGCACCATAACCCCATGTTACGTGCTGCGCCACAGCAGCAGCAGCACGGAAGCAGCAGCACAGCACCAGCAGCGCAGCACCAACTGAACAGCAGCAGCAGCAACAGCAGCAGCAGCAGCACTTTACACCGACAGTCTTACTTGGAGGCCGTCGATCTGTAGGCCGATGGTCAGCAGCAAAGTGCCCGAGGGGTGGCTTAACGCGCACAGAAACTGCTGCTGCTGTTGCTGCTGCTGCTGCTGCTGCGGTTGCTGCTGCTGCTCCAGCTGTCGTTGTGGCTGTTGCTGCTGATGAAGCTGGTCTAGCTGGGGATCCTGCTGCTTCAGTTGCTGCTGCTGCTGTTGCTGCTGTTCTTGCGGCCACTGCTGCCGCTTAAGCTGCTGAGTTGAGCAGGGGATGGGTTTCTCCGCGTCGAGCGGCGCAGCAGCAGCAACAACAGCAGCAGCAGCAGCAGCAACAGGTCTTGCTGGGTCTTCGGCGGGAATAAGTGCTACAAATTCAGCAAAGGGAGAATAAGCGCGGCGCAGACAGTCGACTTCCTGCTGCAGCAGATCGGCAGGAGAGACCATGGGGGTTTAGGGTTTAGGGTTTAGGCTTTAGGGTTTAGAGACGCCCTTACATGCTGCACCGCACCAACTAAACCACTGGCTCTTAAGAGCTAGGCAAAAGAAACGCATTATTTTTGCTGCTGCGCCATTTGGGGGCTGCAGCAGCAACACCAACCCCACCCTCGCTGCTGCTGCTGCTGCCGCCGCTGCTGCATGCAGACACAGCAGCAGCAGTTGCAGCAGCAGCAGCAAGAATTAATCGTTAGGCAATAAACATTCGCTGATTTGCCTTCCATAGGAGAGGCGGCTGCTGCCGCACCGCAGAGACAGCTGCTGCTGCAGCAGCAGCACTAGCAGCAGCAACACTGCTGCAGCAGCAACTCCCGCGGCTGCAGCTACACCTACCCAAACAGCGGCTGCTGCAGCGCTGCAGCGGCAACTCGAATTTTTCTTACTTCCTGCTTTCTTGCTCCTAGCCCTGCGGGCGCAGCAGCAGCAGCAGCAGCAGCAGCAACGGCAGCAGCAGCAATAACAACAAGCTATCCACCGCAGCAGCAACAACGGCAGCAACAGTAGCAGCAGCGACTGCAGAAGCAGGCCTTGTTCCGCGTGGAGTATAGTAGGCTGGCTACCAACATCGCAACGGCAGCAGCAGCAGCAGCAGCGCAGCAACAGCAGCAGCAGCAGCAGCAGTACAGCAACAGGAGCAGCAGCAGCAGCAGCAGCAGCAGATGAGGCATCCGGCGCAGGTGCCGGGCCCAGGCCTGCTACTGGATGCTCTGGCTTGGGAAGCTGTAACGTTTCCTTCTCTCCCTGCGGCGGCGGCAGCAGCAGCAGCAGCAACTGCTGCTGCTGCTGCAGATAATGACGGGGGAGATTTGAGTAGGAGACAGCAAGTACGGGGGAGCAGCAGGAGCAGGAGAAGCTCCAGCAGCAGCCCTAGCAACAGCAGAAGCAGCCCTAGCAACAGCAGCAGCAGCAGCAGCAGCTACTGCTGCTGCTGCAAAGGATGCAACCATTGCTGCTGCTGCTGCCTCCTCAACGAAGCGGAGGAGCGGCTTAGGGAAGCAACAGGGCAGCCGCAGCAGGAGCGTCTCCTGCTGCAACAGCTGCAGCAGCAACAGCAACACCGCATGCTACAGCAGCAGGAGCTGCTGCCCTCAGCTACACAATATGTGCGGAACCATATACACGACATAGCAGCAGCAGCCGCTGCTGGGCAGCAGCAGCAGCTGCAGCAGTTGCTGCAGGCCCTGCGAGAAGAGCCTGAGATGCAGGTGCTGCTGCAGCAGAAGCTCGCTGACAGTAACAGCAGCAGCAGCAACAGCAGCAGCAGCAGCATTTGGCAGCAGCATATGCTGGCTTTACACGCTGCGGTAGTTCGTGCTGCTGCACTCGAGCTGCTGCTGCATCTACTGCTGCCTCTGCAGCAGGTCCTTCGCACCTGCTGCCCGTCCTGCAGCAGCAGCAGCAGCAGCAGCAGCAGCAGCAGACGGCTAGACTGGGGTTTGGCTGCTATTTCCTCGCTGCGGATTGTTTGTAGAGAGGCCTCTATCGTGTCGCTGCGATCTGAAGTCTGCATACCAACAGCAGCAGCAGCAGCAGCAGGAGACTCTGCTGCTGCTGGCACTGCTGCTGCTTTCAGGGAGGCTCTTGCTGCTGCGATGGACGAGCTGCCGCCGCTGCTGCAGAAGACTGGGAGCAAGTTTGCTGCTGAAGCTGCATCAGCGAGGTCCGAGCAGCAGCAACAGCAACAGCAGCAGGAGCAGCAGCACAGCGCTGCAGATCTTGCGGCAGCAGCACTGCAGCAAGTTGCTGCCGTTGGCTTCTTCCTCGATTGCTCGCTGCCTCCACCGTTGCTGCATAAGGTGGGTCACTAGTGCATGCACGCTTGCTGCTGCTTGTGCTGCTGCTGCTGCTGCTTGTGCTGCTGCTGCTGCTGCTTCTGCGCTGAGGTAGAATTGTAAGTCCCGTGCTGCTGCTGCTGCTGCTTTTGCTGCAGTTGTCCTGCTGTCTCGCCTACGACTCAAAGCAGCAGGAGCAGCAGCAAGAGCCTAGCAGCAACGGTGGGGAAACGCAAGATGCTGCTGCTGCTGCTGCTGCTGCTGTTGACTCCCCCATCGAGTCTCCTTCCGCTCCTGCAGATACCTGGGAAGAGCGGCAGCAGCAGCAGCAGCAGCAGCAGCAGCAGCAAGAGGGAGGTGCGCGGGGTGGCGAGGGCTTCATGAGTCCGCAGCAAAACCCTGGGCCGCAGCTCTCCCACTGCACAGACCAGCCGCAGCAGCAGCAGCAGCAACAAAAGCAACAGCAACAGCAGCCGCAGCAGCAGCAGCAGCAACAACAACAACAACCGCAGCAGCAAGGACAATGCGTTTGTTGCTGTGCCGAAACACAGAAGCAGCAGCAGCTGCTGCAGCAACTGAAGAAGCAAGAGGTGGTCGCGCAGCAAGCAGCAGCGGCAGCAGCAGCAGCAGCAGCGCAGCAGGAAGCAGCAGAAGAGGAGGGATCCCTGTCTGATGATGAGGTAGCAGTTGGGGTGTTGCTGCAGCAGCGGGAGGCGCAGCGTGCTGCTGCAGCTCTTCTCTACGCACGCCAGACGCTGCAGCAGCAGCAGCAGCGGCTGCAGCTGCTGCTGAAAGGTTGCTGCTGCGGTGCCGCTTCCCATACACCGGAAGCAAACGCTGCTACAACAACTGCTACTGCAGCAGCAACAACAGCAACAGCAGAAGCAACAGGACAAGCGGGAGCTACAGCAGCGAGAGAAGCTGCAGCCGCAACACAAGCCCCAGCAGAAGCAGCACCAGAAGCAGCAGCTGCATCACCAGCAGCAGCAGCACCTTATTTGGCTGCTGCTGCACCAGCAACTGCTGCAGAAGCGGCGAGGGAAGAGGCTCAAGGGGCCGCCGGCGACACGCCAGCAGCAGCAACAGCAGCAGCTGCTGCTGTTGCTGCTGCTGCTAGTGAAGGAGGCTGTGAAATCCTCGGAAATTCAAGTACGCCGCAGCGAGAACAGCAGCAAGAGCAGCAGCAGCAGCAGCAAAAGCAGCAGCAGTCGCAGCCGTTGCTGCCGCAGGGTCAAGGAGAACCTGCAGCTGCAAGTAGTAGCAGCAGCAGCAGCAGCGACAGCAGCAGCAGCAGCAGCAGCAGCAACGACAGCAGCAGCAGCAGCAGCACAAGCAGCAGCAGCAGACAGAGCTCTGCGAAGCGGCAGCATCCTTCAGACCCTTCTTCCCTTGGCAGCGAACCCACTGACAGTCCAACAGCAGCAGCAGCAACAACAGCAACAACAGCAGCAGCAGCGGCAGCAACAGCGCAGAAGCAGCACGAGGAAAGCCACCACAGCGGCGGCACGAGGCGCAGCAGCAGACTCGCCAACAGCAGCAGCAGCAGCAGCAGCAGCAGCTGCAGCAGAAGACCCTCGCTCCTCTCTTCAGCTGACTCACCGCCCCACCGATTGAAATTTCCGCGTCTCTTAGACGCACAGCCCACAGACAAAACCGAACAGTAAACCCTAAACCCTAAACCCTTAAAACCCTAAACCCTAACCCTAAACTCTAGACCCTAAACCCTTAAAGCCCTAACCCCTAAACTCTAAAACCCTAAGCTCTAGCTGTAAACAACCCTAAACCATAAACCCTAGCTGTAAACCGTGAACCCCAGCCCTAGTCCCTAAACCCTAAACCCTAGTTGTAAACACAAAACCCTAACCCTAAACGCTAAACCCTTAATAAATACCCTGAGCGCTCAGAACCCTTAACCCTAGCGTTACACCCTAAACCCTAAACCCTTAGAACCCTAAACCCAAGTTGTAAACCCTACTCCTAAACCCTAAACCCTAGAACCTAAGTACAATACTTTGTTTGCTTTGCTGCGGCGTCTACAGGTGGCCCTCCGATGAAGAGCCTCCCCAGCTGCAGCAGCAGCAGCAGCAGCAGCAGCAGAAGCAGTACGGGTTGATATCTCCACCCAAGCCGTCGGCTCCTGATCGTCGGCTCCGGTGCTGGACGCGCACTCAGGTGCTGCTAAACCCTAAACCCTTAAACCCTAAACCCTAATCTTAAACCCTGATCTCTTAAACCCTAATCCTAGGCCCTCTTTGTAAACCCTGAACCCTAAACCCTTAATATGCTGTCTGTCAATACTCTCCAAGCTATCATCCATCTCATCGATGATTCTGAGCTGCCCTTTAGGGTTTAGGGTTTAGGGTTTAGGGTTTGATGTGCGTGTCTTATCAGGAAGAGCTTCTATTAGAGGGTGTACGGCGCTTCGGAAAGGGCAACTGGAAAGAAATACAGCAGGTGATCTAAACCCTAAACCCTAAACCCTCAACAGCAACAGCCCAGCGATAACGCAGCAGCAAAAGATGCAAAAGGTTTGGGGTTTAGGGGCATTGGGTTTATGGCTCTAGGGTATAGGGTTTAGGGTTTAGGGCTTTGAGGTTGAGGGCTCTAGGGTTTAGGGTTTAGGGTTTAGGGCTTGCTTTGTTCTTGCAGGAGCATCCGCTGCTGCGGCGATTCACCAACGTGCAGCTCAAAGACAAATTCAGAAACCTGCAGCGACACATTCAAACCCCAGGAGACTAGGGTTTAGGGTTTAGGGTTTAGGGCTTCGAGGTGCGCTGAGGGACTGCTGAGTGCCCTGCAGCAAGCGGCAGCCGCTGCCGGAGCAGCAGCAGCAGCATCAGCAGCAGCAGCTGCTGCTGCGGCTGCGTCGGTCGCTGCAGCAGGAGCAGAGCAGCAGCAGTAGCAGCAATAGCTGCGACATCAGCAGCAGCATTCGTTGCAGCGTGAGCAGCAGCTGCAGCTGTGACTTCGGCAGCTGCAGATCAGCAGCAGCAACAGCAGCGGCAACAGCAGCAGCAGCAGCAGCAGCAGCTCCTGCTGCTGCAGCATGCTGGGTTTGGCGCGTTTGCGTTTTTGTTTTTTCTTGGATTTGCTTCTGTTTTATATTTCTGTTGCTCTTCTGCTCTGCTGCTGCTGCTCTGCTGCTGCTGCTCTGCTGCTGCTGTTGCTCTGCTGCTGCCGCTCTTGCTGGATCTGCTGCTGTCTATACGCCGGAACACTACAAATAAAAGCCTTATACAGCAAACACTTTGCTGCCACAGCTTGACAGGTTCCTGCTGCTGCTGTCGCTGCTGCTGCTGTCGTTGCTGCTGCTACTGTTGCTGCTGCTGCGGCTGCTGCCGCGTGCGCTGTTCAGGGCAAGCAGCTGCAGCAACAGCAGCAGCAACAGCAGCAGCAGCAGCAACCGCAGCGCTAGTAGTAGCAGCGGCAACAGCAACAGCAGCAGCCGCAGCAACAGCAGCAGCAGTAGCAGCTGCTGCTGCAGCTCAGGGCTCTTCCGGTTGCAGCAGCAGAAATTAAAAATGATATATAGTAATTTTTTTATGAATAGCAATAATAATATTGTTGTTAATAAACATTTTAGTAATAATAATATTATTAATAAAAATAATATAATTATTATTAATACAAAATAATAATAACAGAGGCAACAATTTCTGCAGTAGTAGGAAAAATAATAATGATGGGTATTTAAAATATTATTAATATTCTTATTATTATATATTTATTATTATTATTATTATTATTATTATTATTATTATTATTATTATTATTATTATTATTATTATTAGCAGCTGCCGCCGCTGTGTCGCTCTGCTGCTGCTGCTGTTAATGCTGCTGCTGCTGCTGCAGTTATAGGCTGATGAGTTGACACAACACCATTAGCAGCAGCAGCAGGATCAATAATAGCAGCAGCAGCAGCTGATGCTGCAGAAGGAACAGCAACAGCGGCTCCAACAGTCTCCGTGGCGGCACAACGGCAGCAGCAACCGCAGCAGCAGCAACCGCAGCAGCAGCCGCAGCAGCAACCGCTGCAGCAGCAACAACCGCAGCATCAGCAGCAAACGCAGCAACAGCGGAAACTACAGAAGCAGCAGCAACCACAGAAGCAGCAGCAGCCACAGCAGCAACAACTACCGAAGCAGCAGCAAAAGTGACCGCAGCAGCAGCAGCAACAGCGACCGCAGCAGCAGCAGCAACTGCAGAAGCAGCAGCAGCAAACATTAAAAGCAGGAGGAACAGATCTAACAACAAGAAGAGACGAGGCTGCTAATCAGCAGCAACTGCTGCCGACTGCGGAAGAACCTGCTGCTGCTGCTGCTGCTGCTGCTGTCTCGTCCCTAGTCATAGGAACGGCAGCCAAGATAGAGGCAGCAGCAGCAGCAGGAGCAGCAGCCGCTTGAGCTGTCTCGTCCGCTGAAATACTGCATTTAATACATTTTATATCTGCTCTTAGGGTTTTATTTGCCTTTTCTGTAGCCTTAGCACCACAGGAAGCAGCAGCAGCTGCAGCAGCAGCTCTGGCGCTGCGCTGCTGCAGCAGCAGCGCTCGTATCGGCCGTGCAGCAGCAGCAGCAGGAACGGCAACAGCAGCAGCAGCAGCACGAAATACAGTTGCAACAACAACAGTTGCGGCAGCTGCTGTACGTACACCCCGAAACAACTCCTGCTGCTGCAGCGTTTTCTACTCTAGGGGACTCCACAGTCGGCAGCAGCGACGACGACAGCAGCAGCAGCAGCAGCAGCGGCAGCAGCTGCTGCTGCCCCTCAGTGTTTTTCCTTCTCCACAAACTTGAGTTATGCACATGGGCTGCAGAAGCATAAATAACAACAACAGCAGCAGCAACAGCAGCAGCAACAGCAGCAGCAGCAGCAGCAGCAGCAGCACGATCCTGTCTGCACGGCCACTGCAGCGGTCGCCGCCCCCCTGCAGCAGCACTGCTGCAGCAGAAGCAGCAGCAGCTGCTGAAATAAATAAAACGGCCGTCATACTGAGAAAGAGCTAAAAGGACGACTGCAGCAGCGGCAGCAACGGCAGCAGCAGCAGTAACAGCAGCAACAGCAGCAGCGCCAGCCGTCGGCTGCGCTGGAAACATCTATGCGGCGATGCTGCAAGCAGCACCGCCGAACAAAAGGCTGCTGCGGCTAATGATGAGGCAGCAGCAGCAGCAGCTGGACCTTCTGCACTGAAAGTGCACCCGGCGCAGACATAGTGCTGCTGCTGCAGCAGCTGCGGCAGCAGCTGCAGCAGCTGCAGCAGCTGCAGCAGCAGCAGAAGCAGCCAACCCGTTCACAGCAGCAGCAACAACAACAACAACAGCCATTGCAGCGATGAGCCCCTTGTTTAGAGAAGAACCCTGCAGCACTCCAGGCAGCTGCTGCTGCAGCTGCTGCAGCAGCAGCGCCCCCCGCTACTGGCTAGACAGCGGCGGCAGCAGCAGCAGCAGCCGACGCAGTTGCAGCTGCGGTCGCTGCAACAGAGATGGAAGAGCAGGTTATTGTAGCAGGGGGCGCAGCAGCAGCAGTATGCAAGACCAACGCAGCAGCAGAAGTCGGAGCGGAAGCAGCAGCAACAGCAGCAGCAGCAACAGCAGCAGCAACAGCAGCAGCAGCATCCCCATGACTCATTGGACTGCTAACCGAAGCAGCCAAGGCAGGGAGGCAGCAGACTGCAGCGGCAGCAGCAGCAGCAGCACTACCGATGCAAGCAGCAAGCTAGTCAGCAGTAGTGGCAGGCGCAGCAGCTCCACAAGCAGCAGCAGTAGCAGCAGAAGTAGCAGCAGCAGCAGAAGCAGCAGCCACACTAGCAAAAGCAGCAACGAATGCTGCTTCAGCAACAGTAGCCGTTGGAGCAGCAGCAGGAACAAGAACCACCGGGGCAGCCGCAACCACAGCAGCAGCAGCAGCAGCAGCAGCAGCCACAGGAGCAGCAGTAACAGCAGCCGTAGCAGCAGCAGCAGCAGTAGATGCAGCACCCGCAGCAACAGCAGCACCAGGAGCACTAGCAACAGCCTGAGCAGCAGCAGCAGCAGCAGCAGCAGCAGCAGCAGGGGTGATTTGCCTGAGGTGGTGCTGCTGCTAGCTTCTCAGTATTTTACTGTGAGCGATTTATGCAGCTGCTGTTTGGTTTGTCGGCGTTGGTTTGTGCTGCTAGCGCAGCAGCAGCAGCAGCAATGGCGTTTGCTGCTGCTGCAGCAATACGGAGTGAAGTATGAAAATTATTTTAAGTACAGAAGGGGCTGGAGCTGGCGGCTGACACTGGCGAAGGCAGCAACCTTCGTTAGAAACATCAAACAGGTAATCAAGCTTCTGCTGCTGCTGCTGCTGCTTCTGCTGCTGCTGCTGCTGCTGACAATGCTGCTGCGGACAATGCTGCTGCTGACAATGCTGCTGCAGACAATGCTGCTGCAGACAATGCTGCTGCTGCTGAGGATGCTGCCGCTGCTAACAATGCTGCTGCTGACAATGCTGCTGCTGCTGATAATGTTGATAATGCCGACACTGCTGCTGCTGCTGCTGCTACTGCTACTGCTACTGCTGACAACGATGCTGTTGCTGTTGCTGCTACTACTGCTGCACCTGGTGCCGGTGTCGCTGCTGCTACTCTTGAGAATGTTGCTGCTGCTGTGTCTACCTCTGCTATGTTTATTCTTTCGGTGCTGCTGCTGCTGCTGCTGCTGCTGCAGGCGAAGTACCGGCACACTTCTTATAAAGAGTTGCTTCGCCCTGCGCTGCCTCGAGCGCGTGTGCGTAGTCTCGCTTTGTGCTGCTGCTGCTGCTGCTTCCTCTGGGAAGATGGGGTGTATATACACCTCATCCACCTGGAGCAGCAAAAAGAAGTCTGGAAGGCAGCAACAGACACACCAGTAGATCACCTCCTCCCCTGCAGCAGCAGCAGCAGCAGCAGCAGCAGGATCTGCAGCAGCAGCAGCAGCAGCAGGAATGAAGAGGAAGAAGAGGTTCGGGTTTGTTTGGTGGCGACAGCAACAAAGGCTGTCTTTCTGAAGCAAGGAGTTTTGCGTGGGTTTAATTTAGTAGATGGGCGTCTTGCTGCTGCAGCTTTGCTGCCAGCAGCAGCAGCAGCAGCAGCAGCAGCAAATCGACCTGAGTTCCCTTTAGATGTATCTCTAAGAAACCTGCAGCTAACTGTCTTGGCTGGCAATACACTGCATGTATTTCATTCGCATACACTGCAGCTTCTCTACACCGTCTTACATCACCAAGGCCCTGCTGCTGCTCCTGCTGCTGCTCCTGTTGCTGCTCCTGCTGCAGCGGCTGCTGCGCCGTACGCTGCTGATCATCCTGCCCCTTTTGCTGCTGCTGCTGGTGCGCCTCCTTATGCTGCTCCTCCTGCTGCTGCTGCAGCAGCGGTGGCACATACACGCATGCAACCCAACGCAGCAGCAGCAGCAGCAGCAGCGAGTGCAGCAGCAGCAGCGGCAGCAGGAGACGACACAGCGCAGGATCTCGACTTCCTCTGGGCCGGATATGTTGATGCACACCCAAATTACAGCAGCAGCAGCAGCAGCAGCAGCAGCAGACTCCGCGCACCGCAGCTGCCAGCGGAGGCCCCCGTCTCGCTGCTGCTCCAGGAAGCACGCGAGATGCAACAGGAGCAGCAGCAGCAGCAGCAGCAGCAAGACTGCCACCCACCTCCTTTCTGTTGCGGCCTTCAGAGAGCAAGTTTGTTTGGTGCTGCAGTGCAGCAGCAGCAGCAGCAAATACGCCGCAGCAAACACCTCGTCACTTGGCTGAGAAGAAGCTGCAGCACTATCAAGATCTGGGCTGTAGCAGATGGTTAGGCTGCTGCTGCTGCTGCTGCTGCCCTTGCTGCTGCTCTTGCTGCTGCTCTTGCCTTTTCGCCTGCTGCTGCTCTTGCCGCTGCTGCTGCTGCTTCTGCTGCTGGAGTTCCTTTTGTGGGCTGTGCTTCGGATGCTGCTGCTGCTGCTGCTGCTGTTGCAGGTTCGCTGTGTCATAGTCTGCCTGCCCCTTCTTCCGGCGCCTCGTTTTTGCGTCTGCGGCAGCTGCCGCACCCACGGAGCCAGCAGCAGCAGCAGCAGCAGCAGCACTATCTGCTGGCTGCTTTAGATAACGAAGGGCTGCTGACTCTGTATGACAGCAGCAGCAGCTTCTCGAGTGTATGTACACTCAGCTGCAGCGGGGGAGGGGGCCCTATAACAAGACACAGCTTCTCCGCACATCATTTAATTGTACTGCAGCAAATGCAAACTGAGCACTTGCTGCTGCTGCTGCACCAACGCATGCTGCAGCAGCAGCTGCAGCAGCAGCAGCTGCAGCAGCAGCAGCACCAGCAACTGCAGCTGCAGCAGCAGCAGCAGGAAGGTGAAAATGATGCCAATGCAGTAAACTTTGTTGCAGCCGCCTTGTCTTCGTTCAATACCGCTCTTGCTGCTGCTGCACTGCCGCTACTGCGGCGCGACGACAGCAGCAGCAGCAGCAGCGGCAGCAGAAGAAGCAGCAGGACAAGCGGAGATCTTATGCGGGATCACTCGCAGGAGCAGCTGCTGCTGCAGCAGCAGCAGGCGCTGCGCTTGCTGCAGCAGCTGCAGCAGCATGGAGATCTGCGGCTGCTACAAAGCACAGGACTCCTCAGCGTAGTGAAAGTTTGGTCGCTTGACCAAGTAAACCCTAAACCCTAAACCCTAAACCCTAAACCCTAAACCCTTAACTCTAAACCCTAAACCCTTAAAACGCTAAACGCTAAACCCCTAAAACGCTAAAACCTAAGCTCTAAACCCCGAAAACGCTAAACCTTAAACCTTAAACCCTTAAAACGCAAACCCTAAGCCCTAAACCCTAGATCCTAAACCCTAAACCCTTAAAACGCTAAACCATTAGAGCACTGGATCACTAGAGTCACGCTTCGCTAGGCTCCGTTAGCTTATTTGATATGCTGCTCTGCCTCTGCTGCTGCTGCTGCTGCTGCTGCTGCAGCTGCACCGCGTCGCCTTCTCGGCGCTGAGGCAAGGCCTGAAGCAGCAGCAGCGGGAGTCGCAGCAGCCGCAGCTGCAGCAGCAACCGCAGCAGCAATTGCAGCAGCAACAGCAGCAGCAGCGGGAGCTCCCCGCGCTTCTCTTCGCAGGGACTCCCAGACAGGGAGAGCAGCAGCAACAGCAGCAGCAACAGCAGCAGCAACTGCAGCAACACCAGCAAGACAATAAAGTAAGCAAGCTCAGTAATCCTTGCGATTCAGTCTGCTGTTTGACAGACAGCAGGAGCAGCAACAGCAGCAGCAGCAGCAATAGCAGCAACAGCAACGGCAGCAGCATGTGCTGCTGCTGTAGCCCTTGCCGAAGCAAACTCAGGTCCTGCTGCTGCTGTACATGCGGTGGTAGTAGCAATCAGCGCTGCTGCCCTCGCCCAGCAGCATCAGCAGCTGCGGCTGCTGCTGTTGCTGCAGTTGCTGCTGCTGCTCCGGAAAGGGAACTAGTTCAGTTCAAGAGCCGCAGCAGCTGCAGCAGCAACGTCGGCTGCAACAGCAGCAGCAGCAATAGCTGCTACGGCAGCAACAGCAGTGGCAACAACAGCCGCAGCAGCAACTGCAGCAGCACCAGCAACAGCAGCAGCAGCAGCAATCCTTGCAAGAGCAGCTGCAGCAGCCCTACAGCAGGTATTTGTCTCGAGGGAGGTGTGGGTGGTTGCAGCAGCAGCAACGCCAGCAGCAGCAACTTCAGCAGCAGCAGCAGCAGCAGCAGCAGCACCTGCATCGGCAACAGCCGAGTGAACATTAGGAAGAGGGGCAGGCACAGCAGCAGCAACAGCAGCAGCAGCAGCAGTGGCAAGAGGCCAGCTTACCGCTGTGGGTCTTGCTTCTACAGGCAGCAACACCAGCAGCAGCAGCAGCAGCAGCAGCAGCAACAGCAGCACAGTATTCGAGGTCCTATATTTGCCTGTACAGCAGCAGCACGCTCCAACTCAATCGCAGAAAGTGCAGCAGCAGCAGAAGCAGCAGCACCGAGAGCAGAAGCGGAAGGAAGAGCCTCAGCTTTATTTGAAGAGGCAGTAAAGATGACTGTGAATGCTCCTCCTGCAGCAGCAGCAGCAGCAGCAGCAGCAGCAGAGGAAAGCTGCTGCTGCTGCGTGGCTGTCGATCCCTTCGATCCTGAGCCGCAGGTGCCCCTCAGGTTTGGCAGCCGCTGCTGCTGCTGCTGCTGCTGCTGCGCCAGTGAAGCGCGAGCAGCAGCAGCAGGGAAGCAGGAACAGCAGCAGAAGCGGCAACAGCAGCAGCGGGCGCCCGAGCAGCAGCATCACGAGCAGCAGCAGAAGCAGCAGAAACAGCAGCAGCAGCAGCAGCAGCAGCAGCAGCACTGGGCTCTGTTTTATCTAGAACGTCTGCAGCGACGCCTGCAGCAGCAGCAGCAGCAGTATCAGCAGCAGCAGCAGCAGCAGCTCAGGCTGCTGCAGCAACTGGAAGCAGCTGAAGCGTCTTCCGTTTTGGGCTCCGAGTTGTTGGCTGATTGGTAAGCAAACTAGGGTTTAGGGTTTAGGGTTTAGGGTTTAGGTGTATAAGCACCCCAGTTGCCCCTTATATGATAATATATATTATATTATATTATATTATATTATGTTATATTATATTATATTATATTATATTATATTATATTATATTCTATTCTATTCTATTATATTATGTTATTGAAGGCCTCTGTCTTTAGCGTCTGCCTGTTGTTTGCGTTTTAATTTATTCCTCTCTATTTATTTATCTATTTGTTTGTTTATTTATATTTTATTGGTTTGTCTATTATTGTTTATTTTATTTCATCTCTTTTTTTTTGCTTTTATATAATATGGGTTTTCTCGCATTTGTTTGTTTGTTTATTTGTTTGTTTGTTTATTTTGTTTTGTTTAGGGAAGTGTTTGATGTTCTTCCACCAATTCTCTTGCAGCAAAGCAGCAGCAGCAGCAGCAGCAGCAGCAGCAGGGGCAGGAGCAGCAGCAGCAGGAGGTGCAGCATGCGCCGCCGCAGCAGCAGCGAAAGCCGCCGCCGCCAAAGTAGCAGCAGCAGCCGTAGCCGCAGCAGCAGCAGCAACAGCAATAGCAGCAGCAGCAGCACAATGAGCACAACTAGCTACAGCAGCAGACCCAGCAGCAGCAGCAGCAGCAGCAACAACAGCAGCAGGCCCAGCAACAGGACCAGGACGAGCAGCAGGAGCAGGACAAGCAGCAGGCCCAACAGCAGCAGCAGCAGCAGCAGTAGCAACAGCAGGAGCAGCAGAAGCAGCAGGAGGAGGTTAATGATAGGCGGTGGCTTGCTGCTCCCATCCCGATGCTTCTCGCTGCGCAGTAGAGCAGATGCTTGGGCTTTATTAGACTGGAAGGCTATTGCTGCTGAAGCAAACGGCACTCTGCATGTAATTGATTTCTGCTGCATCAGCAACAAAACCGAAGAAAATCAGCTGTATATACACCCCGATACGGGAGTCTCCAGAATGCCAAACAAATAAACACAACTATCCTTTTTTTTTAATTATAGAAACATATATATATATATATATATTTATATATTTATTTATATTTAAACCTTTATATATATATATATATGTATAAGCATTAATAATCATGGTTAATAATTAAGAAGAATATACAATTGAATACTATTTTAAACGATAATACAAAATAGTAAATAATTATAATTAATAATAATAATTGAAGCGTATTCACGTATTTATATAGTATCTACATTTAAATATAATTAAACATATAAAAATAATGAGTGTAGCTCCTTTAATAAATTAAAATAATAATTTGTTGGCGCCCAAAGGCAGTAAAAAGAAAAAAAGAAAATGAGAGAATAAACAACGCCGAACAAAGCAGAAGACAAACCCAGCAACAAACGCAATATATATATGTATATACATACATATACATATATATATACATATATATACATATATATGCATATATACATATGTATATATAGAAAACAAACCGCAGCAGCACCAGCAGCTGCTGTTGCTGCTGCTGCTGGTGGTGCTGCAGCAGCAGCAAACACAACAACAGCTTGCTGCTGTTGTTGTGCGTTTGCTGCTGAAGCAAAAACCCGTAAACAGCGTTTACTGCAGCAGCATCAAATAGGATAGCTGCTGCTGCTGCCGCAGCAGCAAATACACAAGGACCTGCTGAAGCAGCAGCAACAAGCTGCTGCATCAACAGCTCCAGCAGCAGCAACAAGGAGCTGCTGCTGCTGCTGCTGCATGCAGGAAGGAAAGGTGGATGAAGTGGTGTTTGAATAAATGCTTTTAATTGTTATAAACTGTTTTGCTGCTGCTGCTGCTGCTGCTGCTGCTTGAGCTGCTGTTTTAATCGCTATCCGAGCTGCTGGAACTTGAGTCAGTATCACTATCACTACTGCTGCTGCTGCTGCTGCTTGAGCTGCTGCTGCTGCTGCTGCTTGAGCTGCTGCTACTGCTACTGCTGCTGCTGCTGCTGCTAGAAGGCTGTCTAAGCTGCTGCTGCTGCTGCTGCAGATGCGCTTGGTGCTGCAGGCCTGCGAGTATTTGGCGTTGATTATCAGTCAAACCACCCAACCCAATAGCAGTAAAAAAATTAATGCAGAACCGCAGACTTCGCGGGTTGTCTTCAGGAAACAAACCCTGAAAAGAAACAGCATTGAAATAAATAAATAAATAAATTATAATTAATAATATTAAACTAAATTAATAAAATTATAAAATAAACACAAATTATTAAAATACACGTAAATCAAATCCAATACATTTATATCCTAAAAGGAAATAAAATTAAATAAATTTAATAAAATAAAAATAAATATAGATATAAAATAAAGATAATTGAGATGCAGACAAATTAAACCCTTTATACATTCTTTCATTCATTTAAATTCAAACAAAATTAAACAAATTAATCTAATAAAATAAACTAAACAAAATAAATTAAATGAACTAAAAGAAAAACAAAGTGGATATAAAAGTACGAGGGAAAAGAAAAAAGATATTTAAAAAATTAAAGAAGAACATAGAACAAAATAAACAAAAAATAAAACAAAAACGAAGAAAGAGGTAAGACTAACAAACATAAAGAGCAAGAAAGAGATGTAAATAAATAAATAACTAAATAAAACAAATACGCATAAAAAGAAACAAGCACGAAAACAGAAGAAGAGAAAGAAATAACATTCCTTTGTTATTCATAACTATTATTATTACTCTTAATATTATAATTTATTAATATTATTAAATTATTATAAATAGAACAATAATAATTATAAATAATAATTATAATAGCGTTTAAATACCTTTACATAAGGTTTGAGGTCTGGATGCATTAATCTTTCATAGAGTGTCTTCAAGCCCATTGTCTCTGCTGTATCTTGCAACAAAACTTTCAAAAATATTCTTCCTGAAGAAGTAGTCTTCTCTTCAGTTAATTCAAATACCTCTAATACACTCCAAGGCACTGCATCTGCAGCAATAACATTATAAAATAATATATATATATACATATATATAGATAGATGTATATAGTCATATTACATCAATTTATATATTTAGTTATATATATATATGTATATATACATAGATATATTATATGTTGTATACTTAAATATATATATATATATATATTTATGTATTTATTTGTTTGGTTCACAACGAGAGAAATGAATAAAATAGTGATGGACGCGCAATGCGATAATAGAATGCGATTTTATATTTATATATATTGAATAAACTCTCACATATGCATGCATACATAAATATATAATTTAAATACATCTCTATATATATCTGAACCTAAATTTACATATATACGTATATATATATATATATACAGGTTTATTTACATGACGCACATGTCTACGTATATATTTGTAAAGATGTACCCATGCCCATACATATAAATGTATATATATATATATATAACAAACAAACAAAGCGATCAAAACAATTAGATTAAATTAAAAAACAAATGAAGTACCTGAGGTCAGCAGATGAGCGAAGAATTTCGCAGTGTTTCGCAGTTTTGCGGTTTCAAGACGATGAGCCTAAAAAATAAATAAATTAAAAATTAATTAAATAAACTAAATAAATAAATAAATAAATAAATAAAATCAAATAAATAAATAAATAAATAAACATACAGCCTTACAAAGACTCACTAGAGTATATTACCTCTTACATGCCTCTACAAAACATTCACAACATGCAGGTCTAAGCTTAGCCAATCTAATGAACAAATAAATAAATAAATAAATAAATAATATATATATAAATATATAACCTTATAAAGACTTACTAGAGTATATTGTCTCTTAAATGCCTCTACAAAACATTCACAATATGCAGGTTTAAGCTTAGCAAGTCGCTCTGCTTGCAAAGCGAAGAAACGCTGAAAAGTCCGCTCCATAGCGCAGCAGTCTATTAACATCACCGCTACTTCCATCTCTAAGTCTTCCTGAATAAACGAACAAACAAACAACTAATTAATTAATTAATTAATTAACTAATTAATTAATAATAAATAAATAGAGGCATTATACAGACGGTACTACATCTCTAGGTCTTCCTGAATAAACAAATAAATAAGTAGATAAATCGATGAGCAAATAAATAAAAAAATTAATTAATTAATTAGTTTATTAACTGAGCAATTCATAATAAATAAACTAACGATATATGAATAAATGCATAATAGAGACGGTATACACCATAAATACATAAATATTTATTATATATAACATATGCATATAAAATAAATATATATCTTATATAATATTTATTAGATATATCTGTATATTCATTTTAAATATCTTATGTACGCATTCATCAGCATTTAACGAAGACTTAACAAACCCCTTAACGAAGACTATAACCATATATATTACATATACACATATATACATATGTAAATATATTTTATAATATATATTATATATACCTGTATATTCATTTTTAATATCTTGTGAACGCATTCATCAGCATTTAACGAAGACATAATACACAAATAAATTGTCTTGCGTAGATTAACGATGTCTTGCTCAGTCATATCTTTTATTTCAACTTGTTTCTTTCCTTCACCCTACAAACAAGCAAATAATAAACAAACAAATAAATAAATAGATAAATAAATAAAGTAATTAACTAATTAAGTAAACAGAAATAACACAAAAAACGCACAGACAAGCAAAATAGTAAACGAAGAAATAAGAAAAGAACAAACAAACAACAGCAGCAAACGCCTCCGTATCAAACAAACAAAACAACACAAATAATATTAAAAAGAATTAAAACAAAAACAAAACAATAATAATAATAATAATAACAATGGGTAATTATACCTCCCTAGAAAACAGTAATTATATAAGAAATGTAATAATAAAATAAAAGTATAGAGATTATTTGTATTATGAAAATATATTTATAATCATTATTATAAACATAATAATAATTATAAATGTAGATTTTGTGTTATTATGAATTTAATTCGTTGTTTGATATAACAAAAATAAAATACATAAAGAACAATTATATGAAGGCAGTAAACTGCACAATTCGACTAACACAGATAATACAACTAAGACAAATAAATAATAAGTAAGTAAATAAACAAATTAAATAAATAAATATGAATAAGAGAAAACAAATAAATAAATATGAATGCAGGAAGGTAAATAAATAGACAAATAGATAAAATATGAATAAAGAAAAATAAATAAATGTTTTTTCATTACCTCTTGTGCTTCTTCTGTCTCTTCTTCCGATGATGTCTCTGCCTCAGAGTCGACTGAAGATGCATCTGAATCTGCAGACAATTAAAAAATAAAATATAAATAATAATTTGTTTCATTATGTTTCGTAAAATAAAAGCAAACAAAAAGAAAAGGCGTTAAAAGATAATAATAACCACAATATATATATATATATATATATATGTATATATATATATATATATATTTTAATAATAATAATATATAATGATAATAAAAATAATAATGCGGAGAAGACATGTGGATTGTCTTTTAGTATAAACAAAGAAATCATGAAGATAAAGAAATATAATCAACCAATTTATCTAATCTATTTATTTACTCACTACTTACGTTAAAATTATGTTTATTTATTTATTTATTTACTTCTTTTATTTATTTATTTATTTATTTAGTTTAATTAATTTATTTTGTTTATTTTTACCTGTGGAATCTTCGCCGAGAATTTCTTTCGACAGCGCCGACCATTTTTTTTCGTCTTCTTCATATTCCTGAATAAAAATTAAAACATATTTAAATTATTTAAATGCATATATATACATATATATATTTATATATTAGATACTTCATTTATTTAAATTAAATAAACACAATATTCATATAGCTAATTATTTATTTATTTATACATTTATCCATATATATATATATATATATATCTATAGAAACACCGCTGGAGAAAGCAGAGTCTAACGAATCAACAAACAAACAAACAAACAAACAA